TACAAAATCAAGTCTTAAATACAACATGGGATCTATCACTTACAATCTCAAAACACGTTTATAAACTAGTTTCTAATCCTCTTAGGGTAACTGTATCTTCAATACTTGACATGAAACGCCATGAGCTTTAAATGCCCAGTAAATGCACACATATCCCGTTCTTTTTTCCCAATTCAATACACCAAAGTATTTATAACAAGTAAGTAGTGAAGCATGATATTCAAGTCAATAACAGCAATTTCAATAATAGAGGAAAGGAACATGATATTCAAATAGATAACAAAGGTTACAATGTTAGTGGTTAGTATTCTAGAACTCCCTCAAAGAGATTTCGTCCTCCCAACCAAGAATTGGACACCGGATTATTTGGAACTCCATCTTTTGTTGTTTTGTTGCAAACCTTACCTCGGATGCCTACCAACGATTATATATTGCGTAACGCCAACCGCAGGGCCTCACAACACTACAACAAGTTGGGTCTTGAATGACGAAATTTTTTTGTCTTCAAAGAGCTAATTTCGTCACTATAGATATTTGTGAGGAAATATTTTCGTCACTGGTTTGGTCATTGAATGTTTGTCACTAAAAACCACCGTGACGAAAAATAATTTCGTCACCAATGAAATTACTTCAGCGACGAAATTTTTTGTCACCAATAAAACAACATTTTGTAACCAAAAATTCTCATTTTCGTCACCAAATAGTTATTCAGTACCATATTTATGACTTTAGTTGACGAATAAATTTGTCACGCATGTTGATCATTGATGAGGAAATAATTTCGTCACAATAAGATGTAAAGGTGACAAAATTTTTCGTCTTCAAAGTCATAATTTTTTGTCACCAATAAAAAAATCTTTTGTCGCCAAAAATTCTTATTTTCGTCACCAAATAGTTGTTGAGTACCATATTTATAACTTTAGTTGACAAATAAATTTATCACGCATGTTGATCATTGATGAGGAAATAATTTCGTCATAATAAGATGTAAAGGTGACGAAATTTTTCGTCTTCAAAAGTCATACATGGGAATATATTTCGTCACAAATATATATATACATGACGAAATTTTTAGTCACCAAACAACAAAATAAATAAAAACTTTCATCTATAAACTGTGGTAAATTTTGTCACAAAAAAAGTTTATTAGTGACGAATAATCACTTTGTCATAATAACAAGTACAAATGACGAAAACATTCGTCATTAAACTTGTTCCATATTTTATATTCAATTTAAATTATTATTTCACAAATATCTCTGCTCACATCCCAATAACCTTTTAATTGTACTAAGAAATCCACTAGCTATTATAGACCACTCCACACAAAAGTTCACTAAACCATTATATTATAAATCAAAATGTATCCATCAAACAACTTTAATAATAATCCATTATGTATAACAAAAAAATCATCAAAGCAAATCCCAAAATGAACTAATGTGGAGTCCACAAAAAAAATCAACACTCAATCTTGATTTGCAACTACAACTAAGCATCAGTTTAGGGAAAAAAATTCAACAATTGATCTTCATTTGCAAGTATGCTTCCGAACGTCATGCTTCCAAACATCATCAAAAACCAATCTGCAAAGAAAATAAATAAGAAAGACATTAATATATTATTAATTACATCTAAAATCACATTTAAATAATTTTATTTTATAAACCAATTTAATAGAAATGCATATAACAATCCAAAACTTCAAAGAGTTGAAGTGATCCTTAATGATAAGCAACACAGATAAAAGAAGATGACAAAAGATTGCAAGAATACCACGTATCACTAGCACTAATGCCAACAAGAACCAAAGAGAATCACATGACGTGTTCACAAACTAATCAATCCATAGTTTTTATAGGAGTTACCATTTTCATTTAAATCAAAATATGTTCCTATTTTATTTTTAACTTCAACGAGGTAAAAGGTCAAAACACACATGCAAGCAAACATAAAAACAAAAACAAATACACATGAATAGATATTGAAATAAAAACACAATTAGACCTCCAAACAGTTTGGGTTAATTATATTTTATATGGTTTTGTCCAAAAACACTTTACCTCCTTCATGTTTAAAAATATACACATAACCCTCTTGAAATTTGGAGTAAAGTGCAAACGTTGCAAATTCTGGTTAAGTTAACCATGTGTTAACACACTAAATTGAGCGTGTGTTAAGAAATATATATAATGATACTTTTGCCCCTTTTTCAATTTGCCTTTTTCAATTCTTTTCTTCTTCATTCCCTCTCCCTCCTCCTCCTTTCTATAGCAGCAGACCCACTCGTCATTTCCCTTCTCACTTCCTCCTATATTTCACATGCCACCACCAACCAATAGCCTCATGGGCCACAATGGCTATCAACCACCTCTAAAACAAAACCCAGTATCCACTTCCTCAAACACCTAGGTTGGGTGACTTAGTAAGACACAGTCCACCAGGACACCACCATGCATGGCCAAACCCAACCCTAACACCTAGTGGACAAGCACATTTCACCCTCTCATCTTTCTCTCCCTTGTAGGGAAGTAAAACTTTAAACTCATCTCCCTCTAACAACCTGAAAATAGAAAGTTCTAAACACAAGTTCTAAAGGCAACAAATCACTTTTTAAGTTCTGAACTGTGAAAACTCCAAGAAAAGAAAAACAATGAAAATGAAAATGGGGTAGAAAATTTAGGGAAAAATGCTATATAGTTGAGTACGAGACTGAGGAGAGATATTGCCATTTTTTTAAGACAGCTAAGCTAAGAACAATTAAGATGTTATTAATGAAATCATTAAACCAATGATGTGTATTGATCAATCACTATAGCCAAACTTTATGTTAGGAACAAAAGCAATTACTAACAATTAACAATAGACTACTTAAACTAGTACTGAGAAAAAAAATCACTGTAAATAAATTAATCCCTCACGGCAAGAGGAGCTGTGTAGGTGTCATATGAGAGGAGGGAGAGGAATGATATGAGACAGACCATGGGACAAGAAAGGGAAGAATGGGAAGAAAAACAAAAGGAAAGAGTCCCATCTAACACTTTATTGTTGACCTTGAACTATATTTTCTGAAGAATTAAACAAAAATCAAGTTAGGTTTTCTTCAGTCAGAGTCTACAAGTCAACAGTTAACATTTAACATATGTTGTGATCTAATGTTCCCCGTGACAACAAAACAATGTGCAATATGCATTCAATAATCCAACACTCTATTGTCCATTTGGAGGTATTGACATCAACTTAATTAACCAAAATGTCCAGAAGGACCCAATTGACATCAACTTAAATAACTACAATGTCCAGAAGGACATCAACAGACCAATGTGCAATAAGTATATGCTAAGTGATTTCTATTAATATGAAATAGGACTAGACCATAGTAGGTATACTAAGTGATTTATATTAATATGATCTATCTTCCACATACACAAAAAAAACAATGTTCAATGCTCAGATGCCAATGGGAAGATAAGATCCATGACAATCTAGTTTCTTGTATTTTGCATCTAATAATTTTAGTTATTTATTTTTTTAAAAGAAAAAGACTAACTGGATTCTTGTGCTTGCTTACTTGCTTTGTTTACCTTGTGATTTGCATGATATCTCTAATTTGCATGGGTTGTATCAACAAAATCCAAAATTTGATCCAGGTTATGGCACTCCTCAGGCTATACATACACTTCTCGCTTCCACGGAAAGATCTCCTATTACCCTCACCTCAAATAATCCTCATGATGCACAAAGGGGTCAATGTCACATGTAATGTTTTATTTAAGCTGCAAGTAGCAATTGTTTACTCCTCATATTTATCAACCTCAATATTTTGCTGAACAAATATAAATAGATCCTCTGGAAGATGTGATACAAATGTTGATGAATAAGGAAATCTTTTAGCCAAATCTACTAGTGTAATAGATACCTTAGTTCCAACTTTATATGTAATTTTTTCATGAAAATGAAGACTTGGCAGAATGTTTGCATCCCCTTGCATTGCTTTTCTTTCAACCTCCATGTGAACCTGATATAAACCCCGGAGCAACCACAATAATTTTAATGAAGCAAGAAAATGCAAACATGGAACAGATAAGAGTGCTTTTAACCAAGAAGCAGCATACGAGGAAGATGAGGAGGAAATTTTTTTTTTGATTTAATAAGATGTAATTTAACCAATTTAAGGAATATGTAGGTTATCGGTCATCAACCATTTCAATCATCTAATCTATGCTCAAAGGAGAAAACAACAAACAGGAAAATCCAGTCACATCAAAAGCCTTCAATAGAAAAATACCCGCTCTCTTATTGTAGCTAACAACCCGTCATTCCATTGCTCACCATCTAAACAAATTTCTGCAAAATAAACAACTTTTTCTTAAAGAAGCAATATATCACACTTAATCATATGGAATGGGTGCTCAAAAAAATCAAAATTAAAAATCAAAGAAAGAGTGAGAGTTTGCAAGAGCTACACTAGTTAAACGGTAATACAACAACTAGACTGCCAAATCTGTTTATTCATTCGCGTGAAGTGTCCTCTAAATACCATACTTTAAAAACCAGTATAGCTCATGCACTACAGGCATCAAGCACACTCCAAAAAAAGGTGACCACAGCTATGCATAAGACAGAAAATCTGACAGACAGGAAGTTGTTTCTTATTAACACAAGCATTCAACATTATAGTAAAGCAATACTAAAAAAATAAGTTTAAATAAAAAAGTAAAACCTGAAGCACTTGAGCAGCATATCTCTGAGCTGCTGCATCTTGCTCAGCAAATCTGTGAGCATCTTCTGTTACCTTTTGTTCTTGCTCTACCCTCATCAAAACCTATCAGATAAGTCAAAATCAATATATTGTTAGAAATCTTTATCACAGAAGAGAGAACAAGAACCAATTTTTTACATATTTAATTGTCAAACATAAAGCAATGCAAAACCTGAAGCATGACATTTTCTTGTTCTTGCTTATCAGCAAGGGCATGTCGAAGCTTAGCAACCTCTCTCTTCAATTGTTCAACCTGAAGCTCATAAGCAAATAGTTAATATGAAAAATATTTTATTTAACACTTTAAACTAGGTAGAAGAATAAATAAGAACTCAACCACTAAACAAGCATCTTGCTTACAAAAATTTTAATAACTACATCAAACAATTTTAGCAGATTTCGAGTAGAAATAGGTGAAAAACTTAGTAGGAATTCCCCACCTCTCTCTCTTTCCTCTTCGGTTCAAAAACCACAAAATATGATCAGGAAAAAGAAATCAAAATACACCACAAAGAAGGTGAGGAATTTTGGCTGAATTCAGTGAGTTATGGGAAAATAATTAAACAAATTAAGAAAACTCACAGTGGAATGGAAATGCAGGGCCAGTCACAAGCTCACAGAGGAGTCGTGATCAACATGGAATCATTCAGTGGAATGGAAATGCAGGTTTACATTGGAAAACATCCTTATGTAGATGTCTATGGTGGCAAATTGTGGATTAATATCCTACATGAAATTGACACACAAAATTCATCAGCTGTTGATCTAGTTCTCAAATTGCGTAATGAGCCTGTTTGGTGCAGTATTTTTTATGTTTAATTATTCTAAGATCCCCTAAACTATTAGTGAGAACTAGATCAACAGATGATGAGGATTAAGATGGTACAATGTCGTCAAAGCCTCTAGGCTTGTATGCCATAGAGGAACAGCTGATGAATTGAAACTATTGTTGCTCATGTCCCTGCATACCATCATCTTATGGTCAGAAAATGCAAATAGATTTCACATGCATTGCTAACAAAATTGAATATCGAAGGAAATTGCAACAACTTACAGAGAGTTGAGAAAGTTCATCCCTGTGAGATTGGGCGAAGGTCCATTCAAATTATTGTTCGACAAGTACCTGAAAAGGCATAACCAAAACACTTTCTTAATGACACAACTTGAATTCTACATGAAGTTGGAAAATTTTCTGTGTGTGTACTTACAGCTCCCTGACACTTGTAAGGTTGTTGAGGTTTGAAGGAACAACCCCATTTAATGAATTCCAATTGAAGCATCTGTTTGCAAGGCAAAAGTTTCAATCCAAAACAAGAAACTAAATTTGTTACTATAGGAACATGAAAGCCAATCACAGAATGGTTTCTGTAAGAAGCTTAGTAAGAAGTTTCTAGAGTACATGACATAGATACTCACATGGCCTCCAAAGTCTGCACATATCCTAGTGTGTCAGGGATGCTTCCAGTGAGTTTGTTGATATAAAAAATCTTGCTCAATATAAAAGTATAATTATTTATTAGAGACTATAACAAGATAATGTCCAAATTGGCATTAGTTGGAACATAGGATCGCCTAGTGTCACAACAACTGAATCAAATGCTCCACATGAAGTCAAAATATGCTAATTAATGACTAAGTTTTGTCGTTCATAACATCAAAGATTACAATTTGGAAACTTATGCATGTATCAGATTCATGTTTAAGTGGAAAAGTTTAGATGGAATGCTGCCGAATAGCTGATTCATTCCTAGATGACTGTGAATAATGGGCAGAAATTTGCTTAAATTTAAATAACAATAATACTAAAACATGTTATCTTCAAAAGAATTTGTAACGCCCTCAAAAAAATTTAAGTTTGATATTTCAAAGAGGTGAGACATACAAGTGCCTTGCTTTAACTAGCATATCCAGACCAGTTGTGCTCCCACTAGAGACTGGAATTGTTCCATTAAGCTGGTTCTCAGTTAAATCTAGCCATGAAAGATTAGACAAATTACCAATGGAAGGCGGGATTGGTCCACTGAAGCTGTTCGCATTCAGAGCTCTGCAGACAATGCTAATAAAATTTTAATATATTTACCAACCAACCAAACCAAGCCTTAAGTCCCATCAAATGGAGTCGGCTACATTCATTTTCATAAGGGATCCGAGCG